ACTAAAATATGAGTGGGATATTTGGATACACTACACTATGAGTTGGGGTATTTCTGATAAACTACAATGAGTGGGGTATTCGGATACACTACAATATGAGTTTGTATTCGAATACACTATAATATGAGTTGGGTATTTGGATACACTACAATATGAGTTGCGTATTTGGATACAGTACAATATAAGTAGGGTATTTTGATACTTTATAATATGAGTTTGGTATTTGGATACACTACAATATGAGTTGGATATTAGATACAGTACATTATGAGTTCAGTGGTATTCGGATACATTACATTATGAGTTTGGTATTCGGATATACTACATTATGAGTTGGGTATTCGAATACACTACAATATGAGTTTTGTATTCGAATACACTATAATATGAGTTGGGTATTTGGATACACTACAATATGAGTTGCGTATTTGGATACAGTACAATATAAGTAGGGTATTTTGATACTTTATAATATGAGTTTGGTATTGGGATACACTACAATATGAGTTGGATATTAGATACAGTACAATATGAGTTCAGTGGTATTCGGATACATTACATTATGAGTTTGGTATTTGGATACACTACAATATGAGTGGGGTATTTGGATACACCACAATATAAGTTGGGAATTTAGATACACTACAATACGAGTTAGGTATTTGGATACACTACAATACGAGTTAGGTATTTGGATACACTACAATATGAGTTCGGTATTCGGATACACTACAATACGAGTTAGGTGTTTGGATACACTACAATATGAGTGGGGTATTTGGATACACTACAATATGAGTTAGGTATTTAGATACACTACAATACGAGTTAGGTATTTGGATACACTACAATATGAGTGGGGTATTATGATAAACTACAATGAGTGGGGTATTCTGATAAACTACAATATGAGTGGGGTATTCTGATACACTACAATATGAGTTAGGTATTCGTATACACTACAATACGAGTTAGGTATTTGGATACACTACAATATGAGTTAGGCATTTAGATACACTAAAATATGAGTTAGGTATTCGTATACACTACAATACGAGTTAGGTATTTGGATACACTACAATATGAGTTAGGTATTTAGATACACTACAATATGAGTTAGGTATTTAGATACACTACAATATGAGTTAGGTATTTGGATACACTACAATACGAGTTAGGTTTTTAGATACACTACAATATGAGTTAGGTATTCGGATACACTACAATACGAGTTAGGTATTTGGATACACTACAATATGAGTTAGGTATTTAGATACACTACAATATGAGTGGGGTATTTGGATACACTACAATACGAGTTAGGTATTTGGATACACTACAATATGAGTTAGGTATTTAGATACACTACAATATGAGTTAGGTATTTAGATACACTACAATATGAGTTAGGTATTTGGATACACTACAATACGAGTTAGGTATTTAGATACACTACAATATGAGTTAGGTATTCGGATACACTACAATACGAGTTAGGTATTTGGATACACAATATGAGTTAGGTATTTAGATACACTACAATACGAGTTAGGTACTTGGATACACTACAATACGAGTTAGGTATTTAGATACACTACAATACGAGTTTGGTATTCGGATACACTACAATATGAGTTTGGTATTCGGATACACTACAATACGAGTTAGGTATTTGGATACACTACAATATGAGTGGGGTATTTGGATACACTACAATATGAGTTTGGTATGGATACACTACAATACGAGTTAGGTATTTGGATACACTACAATATGAGTGGGGTATTTGGATACACTACAATATGAGTTTGGTATTCGGATACACTACAATACGAGTTAGGTATTTGGATACACTACGAGTTAGGTATTCGGATACACTACAATACGAGTTAGGTATTTGGATACACTACAATATGAGTGGGGTATTTGGATACACTACAATATGAGTTAGGTATTTAGATACACTACAATACGAGTTAGGTATTTGGATACACTACAATATGAGTGGGGTATTCTGATAAACTACAATGAGTGGGGTATTCTGATAAACTACAATATGAGTGGGGTATTCTGATACACTACAATATGAGTTTGGTATTCGGATACACTACAATACGAGTTAGGTATTTGGATACACTACAATACGAGTTAGGTATTCGGATACACTACAATACGAGTTAGGTATTTGGATACACTACAATATGAGTGGGGTATTTGGATACACTACAATATGAGTTAGGTATTTAGATACACTACAATACGAGTTAGGTATTTGGATACACTACAATATGAGTGGGGTATTCTGATAAACTACAATGAGTGGGGTATTCTGATAAACTACAATATGAGTGGGGTATTCTGATACACTACAATATGAGTTAGGCATTTAGATACACTACAATATGAGTTAGGTATTCGGATACACTACAATACAAGTTAGGTATTTGGATACACTACAATATGAGTTAGGTATTTAGATACACTACAATATGAGTTAGGTATTCAGATACACTACAATACGAGTTAGGTATTTGGATACACTACAATACGAGTTAGGTATTTAGATACACTACAATATGAGTTAGGTATTCGGATACACTACAATACGAGTTAGGTATTTGGATACACTACAATATGAGTTAGGTATTTAGATACACTACAATATGAGTTAGGTATTTAGATACACTACAATACGAGTTAGGTATTTGGATACACTACAATACGAGTTAGGTATTTGGATACACTACAATATGAGTTAGGTATTTGGATACACTACAATACGAGTTAGGTATTTAGATACACTACAATATGAGTTAGGTATTTGGATACACTACAATATGAGTTAGGTATTTAGATACACTACAATACGAGTTAGGTATTTGGATACACTACAATACGAGTTAGGTACTTAGATACACTACAATACGAGTTTGGTAACTGGATACACTACAATATGAGTGGGGTATTCTGATAAACTAAAATACGAGTTGGATATCTAGCAACCGCTATATTTACACCTCTTATAACTAATGCTCGAGTGGATGTAAGGTTACAAGAAACTTATCTTTTAAATACTCTGCGTAATGAGACCAGGTTAAGGTTGGTGCTGTATCAGTGTGATAATTTTATGACTGATCAACACATTTCAACATACAAGGAATTTATTAATGTTTGTTTACTTGATTAACAAATACAAGGGAAAAGAATTTGCTGCAGCTATTCTTGTAAGTCATTTCTATTGTTGAAGGCTCCTTGTAGATCATACATAGGTCTTTAAGTGTACGGTACATATACAAGGCATTCTCTCCAGCTTCATGAATATTTATAAATTTCACAATTCAAGCTGAAACAAGAGCTTTCTATTGGCCTACTGAATAACTCCACTGAATCTAATATTTATAAAGATGAAAGAATGCCTTTGTTGCACTGAGAATATTATAATGCACTCACATTAACACAATACTCAACATGTGGCATGTTTATTATTAAAAAAAAAGTGAAAATTTAACAATTAATTGTGTGATACTGAATCACAGTCGCTATCAGAGTATTACATCAGTATATTTTAAATTTGAAATTCACAAACCCTCTGATGGAAGTTAGTTTGATGATATGTATAACAGTATTCCGTTACTACATGTATTCATCAATATGATAATTTGACTTGCATACAAAAGAATATACCCACTCTTCCCTTCTTAGCCCGACAACTCCCCCCTATCAATCCAATGTACTTTTAACAGTTCCTGTATTATGAATCGCTCCATCTTTAAACATTCAAGCATACTGAAGTACAAAATGCAAAAATCATCTTCATGTTTAAATTGTCCATCCTTAAAACATTGTATAAAATAAATAATTTCCAGATTACTGGAACAGGAAAATATACCGATATCAGTTCTGCACTTGTGGAATGGCAGTGAGGACATAACAATGACAAATTTGTAAGTCGCTATTTGCTCGCAAAAAGCAGAAACGACAGAGGAGCTGATGAACTGCATGACATAATTGACCTGGAATGAAGGAGGGATAATAGTGTCTAGTTTTTAAAACATGGTTTCATGGACTTGATTATTTTTCCAATGGGGCATAATTGAGTAACTTTTCAATCAAATCCACATGGGCTAATAACATTCTTCTGCAACAATATCTTTTCAGACCAAGGGCATCCAGTGCATCACTGTGAAGAAAAGAAAACAAAGAATCACTTAAACGAATTCAGTTAATTTTATTTAATCTTGGTAGCCCCATTTATATGTTAGTTCCATATTTGAAAAGCTGACCAAAATAATATAGCTTACAGTTTCATTGTAGGAATAGCAACTATCAGTGGTCTAGCTTACAAGACACTCCATGCATAGGGCAACAACAACAGTGATGTCTACTAGTACACTTTATATTCTCCACTGTCAGGCGATGAGGGACAAATATGAAGTAAATACCCACTGGGCTTCATGGAAAATTCATGAGATGTAACATTGTGGAATATACAAATAATGTTGATTTAATGCAGTATGGTTCAGAACTCACCCTTCTGTGTATTCAGCTTGGAGTAAACCGAGATATGACTCCCACTTATTACCCACCACCTTACCACAGGTGAAACAACGAATTGGAATGATCATTGCAGCAGGTGGAATATCAACTGAAATACAAATGGGTAAGAGAAATTCACAGACTAAACACTTTTCCTCTTTGAGTATGTACACATCAACAGCTATCATGAATAGCCATGATGCAGAATTTCTATTTTTTTAATTCTAAATTGTTGGTATTTTAGTTGACGGCCTGAGAATGATACATTAGCTCATGGAGGTAGAAAAGAGAAGGAGTGAGAACGCTATTGTTTCCGCTGGTTTTATGATGTTTTGGATTTGTTTACTTAGAACACATTGTAATTATTTGGCAAACACGCTGTCAAGTGTCACCGTTAATTGGCTTACATGTTTCGGCTGTATTCGGAAGCTTCACGAAGATTCTCGATGCACTGCGCATGCCCAAACAGATAACAATAATACAAAATGCAGCAAAAGACGTATGCTGAGTGTACTCAATGCCCCAAATCTATTGCAACAAAAGGCGCGATTTTCAACAGTTCTGCACACCAAAGAAAAATGCCCCGTCAAAACATCTTGTTATAAATTTATCCTGTATCTTTAAATTTCACTGCGGACATTTGCAGGATTTTTTTTAATCAATGTCCAAAGTTGGAAGACTATTTCCAAGAAAATATCCAAAAAAAAGTAATCACACATCTTGGAAGCATCCGTATGCAGAGTTTCCGGTACCCACAAGTGTGAAATGACCTTTGTGACCCGATAAAGCATGCACAATTCTTTTATTTATGGTTTGCGCATTCAATTTTATAGACGATGTTTAAAAGAAATTTATTTTTTTCAGTTCTACTCTCGTTTTCTTGTGTAAATAAGCGGCTATCATCATGTAGAAAAAAGGACTTCTAAACAAAAACAATAAGTGGCTTAACCAGAGCGAAGACAAAGGATGTTTATAAGATTAACATGGGCTTAAATAGCGTCCTCACTCCTTCTCTTTTCTACCTCCATGATTAGCTGTAGTTCATTACATTAGAACTTTTTGTTATCACTTTGTTACATTGCCTGCCTATAATGTGAACTACATCCACAAACACATCAGATAAGTAAAAGAGCGGCTAGTTGGCGTTTAATGTCAGCAAAAGCAAAGTCATTCATGTCAAGGGCAAAAATTCTCAGTTCACCTATTATATGAACGAGGAAGCAGTGAAGATGACAGATCTAGAAAAATATTTGGGTATATTTGTACACAATAGCTGAAGCCATCTCACCAATAAATTTAAAAAGCCTTTATTATGGCAACGCTAATCAATTACAATTTGCTATAACATCTAACCAGGAAGCTGTAATGAGACATCTAACATTGTTGTCTGTACAAGCACTTAAAATGAAGGTAAACATTTTTTTTTTTTACCTCCATGCACTTAGTAAGGCCACATTCTATGACCTAACTCACTGACTAAACTACAATGTATATAGACTAAACCATGGACGTACTGGCTGCCTATAGCGAGCGATTGAACCGCAAAAAAATGTGTCAGTTTTTACCACAGATGCCTAAGCGTAATTGTTAGGTTGTTGTATTTTGTTTATAAATAAAGATATTATATATTTACTCGTATTTTCTGCTGGAAAAGAACTATTTGTTTAACATGTTGTTTTTTTCCATCGTGGCGCGAGGTTGTACACTACCGATCTCTGTTGCAGAACGTCTAGTGTAGTATTATAGATCTGAAAATATCGAACGATACTGAAAGCTCTTTTTGAATGTGCATAAACCATGGGAATAAACTAACCTCGTTTACACCAACAGTATGAAATCTAGAACGAAAACACATGTGACGACTGTTTGCTTGGGAAAATGGCTACCGGAAGTTAAGTGGGGGACGACACTTTTTGACAGGGGAGGAAATGTCAAATTACGCTATCGGTAATGTTGCTAGCTTGTTGTATTTTTTTGGAAGGGAGTACGTGAGAAAAAATAGATTGTATGGGCAGGGAGCTGCAATGAGAGCTCCCTGGTAGGGGTAACAGAAAAAAAATGATTATTTAGTGCAATGGGGTACAAGACCGAGTATAATACATGCAACACTTTAGTTTTATGTTCACCATACGAGTCTCCATCGATGTAAGTCATTTATTTTCGCGATTCTATTCAAAGTACTAATGGGTGAGAATAAATATATATAGATATATTTAATATAATTGTAGATTGAATGTTTATTTAGGTTTCTCGTCTGATAATTGTTTCATACGAATGAATCTATTTTTTCAGTGATACTACTCTCAGCGCAACAAAGGTATTTCCTTCATTTTTATGAATATTTATAAATTTCACTTGTATTTATGAAATGACCAACAACACCATTGGAGATAATTTTATTGCCGTACTTTGACTACATATCAGTATTGAGAAACACAAACAAAATGAAATGTATTGACAACTTGTAATTAATTAATATTCATTCAATAAATAGTATTCATTTTCTTCTCAGACTAAATAAAAATAAATAAATAGTTGTCTGAGTTTTCTTGCACTTAAAATTTCATATCTTCAAAAATGATATCCCAATATGGAATAGGGTAATTGAAGTTTTGTTTTGTAGTACTGTTTTGAAAGGTCCTTTAAAATTAAAGGGCCGCAGTCGTCGCGTCGCGTTCTATTCGATATGGGACTCATAGCGACGTATACAACGGGTGTAAAATACATTGTTTATTTACATGAAATTTGAACACGCGCTGACCAAATAAGCAGGTACCAGAACATTTATAGACGATAAAATAAAAATAAAATTTAAAAAAATCACCCTCTCCTAAACATTTTACTTGCAAGCGCCCTTGTTTCAAAGTGTCTGGTTTAAACCTTCATAACCATTCGTTCGAACCAAAGTCTTCAATAGTTTGCACGTGGTTGATGCAAAAATGCAAGAGTAGTTTTTACATTTATTTGCCCAAGAAATAATAGAACATAAACCCAGTTTTGTCTCTAGTCTAGTGCTTGGGTTATGTTATTGTGGCGCTATAAACAGCGTGAAGTTGCTTGTATGATCAAATTATAGTTGCATACAATCTCTTGTTTGTTTGTTTGTTTTATTTTTTTCAATAAATAATCATGCATTCCTGTATCTAGTCGACTGCAATCTGTTGGTGTCAAAGAGCGAGAATTTCAAAGAAATTAATTTTGTGGACGATCGTAAATGTGTATGATTGAAGTGAAACTTGTACCGAATGCAAGAGACTGTTTATATTTGCCATGGGTGGTGACTATTATCTAAATTCGCTGTCGATTATGCCTTTGGTTGATTAATTACAACATGGGTTTCAAAACAATTACATGTGCTTTTTTTGTAATGGATTGTTACACCCAATTATTTTTTTACCTACTGAGTGTTTGCTATTTATAGTCCAGCATTGAAAAAATGGAATTGGCGAAAGTGTATAAATGGCAAAAAACGGGTATATATGTTATAGTTTCGTACACAGTACGACTATGAAAAATGTAGACGCCCCCCCCCCCCACACACACACACGCACATAAAATCCAAGCATGTATTACTGATGTATATAAAGGCCATTTTTTTATTTGCTACGAGAAAAATACTTGAATCGAAGATGGATTTATTTAGTGGCATTATTGAGAAGGACCAAACAATATGAAATAACACCCCTGCATATTTTAGAATGAGCCAGCAGTACAATAGCGGTTAGATAGGGAGCTTACATATGGGAAACTCCCTTACTACGCAGAAAAATAAACAGATGCGAAAGTAATATTTTGTAGACGCTTGTGAATTGTTGTGTACTTACATCTGAAAGCATCTTTTGTGTCAGGTAAGTTATGAATGCCTTGTAGGTTTACTTTCACTGTTACAGTCGTCTTCCTTGGGTTCGCATGTCAGATTGTGCGGTAGGAAAGTGTAATACTGCCGCACCCAATGAAGATGTAAACTCAGTGTAGCTTAGAAAGTCGTTGCGAACCACTGATAAACAAAATAGAACCACGAAAAAATGGAACGAAATTTCACGAAACAGAACCGCATTTTTAGAAGTTGATAGCTTGAACAGTATAATTGAAAAAAAAAGCAGGCATTTCTCCGTTCCTTTATATAAATCGAAACCACCCCTTAATGCAAACCCCAATGGCGACTTCTTGACCCCGCAGCGTGATCATTTTGCATAGAATGTGCGCAATGTATGGAGTAAAAATAATGATTCATAATCAGTTAGAATCACCTCGTGATTATGTTTTATTTTACAAAAATTCAAATTCAAATTGTAATTGAAAATTTCTGCTTTTAAATGATTTGTTATGTAATTTGATGACAAATGCACTATGTCTCATGAAGGCATGAACTTTTGTTATTGAAATTTATAAAACGTTCACCCCAGAAGAACCTCGTCATTTGGTAACACCCATTTCCAATGAATCTTTGCTGGTTATTATTGGCTGATTTAGTGTTATTCTTGTAAAAGATATTTTCTCCGCTAAGTAAGTCATTATGAATGGTTAAGTGGTTTTCAACCGTCTTCATGCAACCAGAGTCAACGAAAATATTATTTTTTAATTCCTACTCATAAGTCTTTAAAGGAGGGTGTCATGACATGTTGCGTTTGCTATGGGTCCCATGCAAAATATAAAATGCACATAAAATGCCTTATTTGTTGATTTATTGCTCCACAAAGGCATTTTTACTTATGTATGGTAATTCATTATTGATACTCAAATTTATAATTCCATGCAGAATATTCTTCTATAAATAAGAGCTTTTAATATTATATACAAATTATTGATATTCAACAATAAGAGCTCATTTGAATACACTGTAAATGCATTAATTATTCTCAGGGATTTAATTTTGCTGTTCTCGCTGATAAAGTTCTTTGCTAAATTAAATCATGGAGGTAAAAGAAAGATTGTGAAGATATACTCAAAATATAAAAATTTTAATTTAAATGACAGTGAAAATAAATATTTTTACATTCCAATAATGAATAATACGATAGTTAAAGCCAAAATGCTCAGTAATAGACACAATTTAGCAGAATCCTCTATTCCGGTTGGATGGAATAAAAACTTTTAAAATATTTAAACACTATTTGATTCGATATACCACCTTGTTCCACCTTCTTCACTTTATGTAATACTTGTATATACATGTAAAGTTGTTTTTGTTAACATTCTGAAACTGAAAAGGTCACATTAAATGGTCACATTATCACTAGGTTGAGGGGAATTGGAGTATACATAACATCATTTACACTACCCCCCCCCCCCCCCCGGTATATCACATGGCAACATCTACAATGCAGAAAAGTAGGAAATAGGTATAGATAACACCATCCTCAGATGACATATCCTCAAAAGTATATATGCAACATGTCTCTATAGTAGGTATGTCAATTGTCAGAGGAAGGTTGCTCCAGGTTTTGTTGTGAGATGTGTTCAATAGAAATCTAATAATCCCTTGTAAAACTGATACCAAACTCCTCGTAGCAAGACATGCTATGAATTACACCAAGTTGTATATTGGTAGTTATGTCATGAAGTTCCAATACTTATTTTCCCCTAAATTAATTATTAATCACCTAATTTTTCCAAAAACTCACTAGTCAGAATTTCCATACACTTTTAAACTGTGTTGATGTGTCATTGTCTATTTATAGTTGACACGGTCTATTCATAAACCACCATGGATTCACATGTTCCTTTGTTGTTGCTATGAGGCCATAATATTATTCCCGCCATCTTGGTATTGTCATTATTCAATCTTTTAAAATCAATGAACTCTCTTTTTCAGTAGTTACCAGCCAAAGACTTGTAAGTAGAGACACTATATTGAGATTTTGGTGCAGTGTATAATATATTTGAATCTTGAAAATAGTGTTGTAGTTATTTTTAATTTTGTACGTCTAATCTTGAATTTCTATACGTGATATGATTTTTTCATTTATGCTGACTAATTATGAAAAAAACCAGTGTTTTTACTACTTGGAATAGTCAAAACAGCTCAATTGTAGGCTATTCATTCAGACAAACATTGGTACAGCATATGCACTTCCGTATTTCCCTATATCTAATCTTTCAGGTGATGTAATTTTTTTTATACCTGGCTAGCATGCTTAGTAACTTGTAAAGAATTAACTATTTTTTTTTCCTACTGCTACCTGATTTATTTCTGTTTTTACATTTTTTTTTTTAAGTTGACCTATCTTGTGCGTATGAGTCATACCTGAACATGTAATATGATCGGGATTGTTTATTTTAGTCACAACATTGGCTGAATCTCAGATTTTCCACTCATTTAACCTCACTGATTTTATAGCTGTGTTTTCCCATTTATAGTCATATAGTCACAGTATGTCAACACCTCGACCTTTAGATTCTTTATTCCTAACCTTTTATTGTTACATGCTAACACAATGTGACCTAGTTAATTAACATATTTGTCAGGTATGTGAGCTGGCCAGAATCTTGCTTTTGAATCAATTAAGGCTTTATAGCATGCCAATGTGTAACCCAAACCAAGTGCTAATTAGTTTTATGACTAAATACTGTGAATGTCACAGGACAAGTTAAAGTTAATTGAAATGTTCTATTGATATCAGAGTATATTAAAGTATATCATTTAATAACTTGATTTAAATTTATACAATGTAGTCTCCATTCGAACATGTATGTATGGTCTCCACCTATATTTTGCACATGCTTTGAACTGAGTACATTCAAACTTCCCACATACCTTATGCATCTTGGAATACATATACTCGGTATGTACATTCATGATCTGGTTCAAGATGGTCAAATGGTGGTAATTTTTGTTCAAAATTCATTAACATTAAATAAATTTTAACAAATGCTGTTTGTCATGCTTTGATTAATCATTTTCATACTTCATAATTTATTCATTTAGCAATTCAAGATGGCTGAATCGCAGCCATTAAATTAAATGTTTGGAAATCATTGATATCAAACATTTCTGCCTCTCTGGAATTGAATATCAGTCATACATGGATGGATTTTGTTCAAACATGTTACATACATTGGACAATATGGGACCCAGATGCACGATTCAAAATGCTCAACTCAATCTGGTTTATTTCTTCAATTATACCTAAAATCGTGCAATTTTCCCATAAATGTCTGGTACATTAGCGCCTATCATATGGTTAACAATAGGGGTCCAGAGAGCTAGCATCAGTTAGTAATTTGATGAGTAACATTGTGTTGACAAATAGAGCTAATTTAAACCTTTAGCAGTTACTTTCAGTAATTCAAGTGTGGTTACATTCTGACCTCATTTTGCAAGAACATGTATCAGTTTTTTTGTTTGAGATTTATTAATTATGATCAAGTAATATAATTTGTTGGAGCAAATAGAGCAAATACAGTAATTTTAATTTCCAAGACCAGAATAATGTTTTGCCACAATTTTTACTCCCCTGTACAAAGCTCACAATCTTTGCGATTAGTGCATCTGTGTGTGTGTGTGTGTATGTACTTTATGTATGTAAGTCGATCTCTGTGAGTCTGTCTGTTCGACTAATTTCTCAAATTTCCACAATATCAATTTTAAGCATTTTCACTTGTTTCTTGAGTATCATTCAACAGAATTTAATGAAACTTGGTATGTAGGTGCTCTTGGATAATTTGCATATCTGATTAGCTTTTGATCTAATTGGCATATTAATTAGCCAATGTTAAGCCTTTTCACTTTTTTATCAAGATCCATTTGACAGATTTCAATGAAACTTGATATTGTAAAATAATGCACCTGATTAGTTTTTGGTTGAAAACCATGCATATTAATAACCTAGTTTGCATATTGATTCCCATCAATATCTCAACCACTCATCAGATTAAAATGAAACTTGGTACATAGGTGTTCTGGGATAAGCCATATACATGTTTAGTTTAGAGTTGAAATTTGTGCTTACTAATTTAACCAATTTATTGGTGCCCCACAGATAACCACCCTGATCACTGCTTGCAATTATATTTTGAAATGCTGTGTTTGTCTATTAGAAGCATGTGTGCTTACTGTCAATATAAATGACAGAGGCAAGTCCAAGGTCAAAATAAGACGAGCATTTTGCATGTTATAAACACAATTTTTGCTTTATGTGTATTGAAGATGTGTTTCTGATTTAATTTCATTAATACTTGTATATTATTCATTATTTGTACTTCATGAATTCAGCACACAGCTGTACTTGTATTTTCTAAAAAATGCAGATAAACATTAAAATTATTTCATATATCATATTTTTGGTGTAAGTAATATTCAACATGAAAATATTTTTTGAGTTACCAAATATTAAGGCAAAATAATGTATTCTGTATTTTGACTGCAGTTGTCATACATACTCCATTATACATATATAATCTTCTTATTTTGTTTACTATAATTTTTACCAAATTACTGTAATCCATGATCTGATATTATCTTGAAATGGTTTAAAATGAGTAGAATAAAATGAGGGTTGTGTCAACCTATGTCTACAATCCTTTGTTGTTTAGAATCATAATAAATTTATAGGTTTATTGTTCATCAGTTTTGATGTCACACACTGGAAATATGCTAGAATTGCAAGGACCATATTGTAAAATTCATATTTGTTAGTTTGGACAAGAATTAAGACCACTACCTACTGGTAACTACTATACATTAGTAAAGTGATTCAACAGCCCCCAATATAGATTTTGCTTCTCGTTCCAGAGAAAATTGAAAAAATGATGCAGTGACGATTATTTTATACCATGACAACAATACTTATATTCAGTGTTTAAAATTTATTATATAATGCATTTGAATACATGCATTCAGTGTTGATTTGGATCTACAAAACATCCTCTGAAACCAATAACAAACATTCCCCTATTCTATCGTGTGTGGAGTAATTTAAAATGTGTAAGGCGCAGTTTTCAATCTGACCTATGTGATGGTGACAAGCAAAACCTGTCTGTCTGTCTGTCTGTCTGTCTGTCTGTCTGTCTGTCTGTCTGTCTGTCTGTCTGTCTGTCTGTCTGTCTGTCTGTCTGCCTGTCTGCCTGTCCTGCCTGTCCTGTCTGTCCTGTCTGTCCTGTCTGTCTGTCTGTCTGTCTGTCTGTCTGTCTGTCTGTCTGTCTGTCTGTCTGTCTGTCTGTCTGTCTGTCTGTCGTTCTGTGTCTGTCGTTCTGTCTGTCTGTTGTTCTGTCTGTCTGTCTGTTGAACTGTTGAACTGTTGAACTTGACATGTTGAACTTGACATGTTTGATTTTTGTTAAGTACCTGCCTTGATGAGCGTAGATAGAAAGTTGTTCATGAGAAGTCATTAATTTAGTTAAATTAGCTACTTAAAATGCTTATGTGACTTCTCCTATCACACTATTTTGTTTACATGGCTGATATTGATAGTGCACATGCATAGGGTTTACCCCATTCAGATTTATTCATTCCGTGATGGTGTCTTCAATTCTCTATTTTAAGTAAATATTTTTGTTATTTTTTTTAATGAATTTTTTTTTTCATTTTTGGTAAAGATGCTGTTTTGACTTTTTCTATTTTCTTTTTTTTAAATACCAGCTCAATTACTGTGATACTTGGTATGGTTTGTAACAAGTTGATAAGTTGTAATTGCCATAGCAACAACCATATAAACTACCATGGCTGTGATTTAGAACATTGTGGTAACAATAACCATCGCAAATCACCAAGATATCACAGTATAAAACATCAACTCTGTTTTGAGGAAACACTACACAGACAATGGAGCTATTTAAAGGTCACTTGTTTTTATAAGGGGTAAATCATAAAAACACCTTCACCTAGTTTTGAGATGCAAGTTTATGGGGCTGTTACTACCGGTATACACTGTAGTTATGTATACTTCAACAAATTTATTTTGAATAAATTAAAATTTGCAAGTAATTGATTGGAACAAATTAACTAACTTTTAACTAACTAACAAATTTATGAAAAAAGTATATAATTCTAAAACTTATAATTCTACTTCATTTGTTTAAAATGAAACACCCCATAAAATGTCTGATAATCATGAGGTTCTAAGTCCTATTCACTTGTAATATGATGATATAAAATGACGTATATATTATTTTCAGTGTTGCCCAATTAAACATTTGCAAGATGAGCCTGGAAGGGTGTGCCAAAGTCATCAAGTATATGGTGTTCTGTTTTAATCTTGTATTCTGGGTGAGTAAAAACATTTTACTCATACACGTAGTTCACTGTAGTATTAAAAATAAAATCTTGGCAGTTGAGGCATTTTAACCAGGAGATGGCCTCTAATTATAATTATATATAAGTTTCCAACTCTCACTTGCACTCTGCACAGAACAGCCATGGTGCACCGCCCATTGCTGAAAGGTCACATTATCATGAAATCACATTTAGATTCTTAGTCATTGTCAGAAAGACGCCTAATTTGCTGCCTTTCTCATATCTCAAAATGTTTTAGCAGTAAAAAATTAACTGTGGTTCTCATGACAGTGAGTCACAGTGACTTGTGCAAAATTATTAATATTCTCAACAATGCTCTCAAAATATGAAATGAAATAGCAAGCAGTAGTTATTAATACCTCTTGCCTGTTTCTATTTGCAGATTGTAGGATGTTCCATATTGGCTATCGGCATTTACGTAAGGCTCTCCGATGGAGAATATGCCGTTTTAACTGAAAGTATACCATTTGCTAATGTGTCTAATCTTATGATAGCTGTTGGTGCCATCATCACAATTATTGGATTTGTTGGCTGTGTTGGTGCATGGAAAGAAAACAAGTGTCTATTGATGACAGTAAGTAATAATTTGCTATATTTGCTTTGTTAATAATGTATGCGCTTATGTAAATGTGAGAGGTGGATTTGTTGGCGCACTGTGGTGTTGCAATTTTGCCAACCTTCATGTCTTTCTTTACATCAGTGCTATATCATGCAAGGAATATATAATCTGTCAGATTGATCGTTGCATGATCTCCAAGTTTGAACCCAATCTTTGTGGTTTCTACCAAGCACAGTAAACTTGTTCAGTGCTGCATCTTAGTGTCATGTGACCTGTATACCGGTAAAAGTACTTGAACAGTTTATGAGAACAAAAGCTAGGCTCTCTTGTTCATGTTTTTTTTTTTCAATAAAATAAAATATCATGTGAGTGTATAAATAGTGAAAGCTGGTTTATCGCAAATAAACAAAGGCTTATGACCCTTCTAGACACCCTCTTGGGACACTGGGGGATGATTATCACCGCTCTGGGTTCAGTGCGTGATGCAATGATTGACAAGTTCATTAATATTCCACCAATCAATCGTCAAAATTGGAATTAAATTCGTCTCGATGGAAACTGCACCAAAACTAAAATTTTGCATGCTTGCATTTGACATTATTCTTGGAGACTTTTTTTATTATGGCATTGCAAGACAACATCGAAAGTACACTAAAGAAACTAGGTTATACATCGCTTTGAGAGACCAGAGGTTGTTGATGCGCACACTTCATGATGTTTGTGTGAATGTCTATCAAATCACCGACTGCCTGAACTAAATTTTCTGCCAGCTTTGAACAGTGTTCTCGGTTGTACATACGATGATGTGACAATCACTTGCCCGCTACTCACGGCCATTTGGAAGAATGTGACGTCATGGAAATACTCATTAATATTAATAGCAAAGGAATCCTTGCAAGGGTCACAAGTCTTTTGTTTAATTCGTTTTAACTCAGTATTTGCCATCTATACACTCCTACATTTTATTTTATTAAAAAACACTAACAAAATAAACAAGAGACTGTATGCAAGTCAAACCAAAAGCATATAAATATCCTAAGATATAAACATTCAATATGTAAATAAAGAGATTTGACTTGAGAAAACTTGAAAACAGAGCATTTAGTGTATAGAAGTCCTGTTTATTAATAACAGCAGCAGAGAACAATGTCAAATGAATGTACATTTTCACAATATTTTCTGTATAATGGTAGAAAAAACATGAATTAGTAATATCACTCAACATAAAGATATTTGTGTACATGTAATATAGCAGAGTTAGCAGCATGTATGACATTCAAAACTAATTTATTAATTAAGGTATAATCTTTTATTTTCAGTTCTTCATCTTGCTACTGATTATTTTTTTGATGGAGATTGTCATTGGTGTCCTAGGATACATCTACAGAAACGAGGTAGTTATGTGGTTTACTGTTTTTTAGTGTTCTAATTTCAGTTTCATGTTGCACTGGAATACATGTAATTGTGTTATATTGTTAATAGAATACTCAATAATAATAACCATGCTGGCTTTTGAAATAAACACATCAGAAAACGAAGAAAATATTTGTTCTCAACTAAATAAAACATTTTTAAATAAAAGAATCTGGATGAATTGAAACAAAAGTCCAATCAAAGATTGAGAACATTTGCTTCTGATTCTCCAAAATATAGCAAAACTAGAAATGATTTCATAAACAAAATCAAAATATAAGCAAGAAATTCATCTATTTTTCTTTCAACACTGAGACATTCATTATTACCTTGCCTGTATCATCAAAGATGGAAGGGAAAGGTCTAAAGGAAAAAAATGTGTGCAGCAATGTCGTTGTTATCGTCGTTAATAATTGCTATCGTGTGCACAATAACTTTACTAATTCTATTCCAAACTTTATCAAACTTGGTCACCTTATTTATCAGTATAAAGTCTTCCCTTAGTATGAACCACAGATGTCCTGTATGAAAATATCATGCAAAAATTGAGAAAATCTGATAAAATATTTTGACTGTTTCTACTTGACTGATCACTAGTGTTACACATTCAAAGGTCACTGATCTCAGTGGAAATATGCATTGTTGTATGTGTTCAATGAAGCAAATCATTTATCTTGTAATAATATCGTTGGTAATGTATCTCCCAAATCCCATGAGAATACTAGACAGGGTTTCAAAACCAACTCATGGAGAGAGTTGTTGCACAGTCTGATACACATTTGCAAACCTACCAATAAAACAGAAAACAAGATGTGCCAATCTTTTGACAAAGCCAATAGAAAATTAGTCAATAGAATGTTTAGTCCAAAGTTATCAAATCAAAAACAATACATAAAATATAGCTGCAAGCAGCAATTACCGGCTTTCGATGCTATGCCTGCGTTAGCGCTGAATTGCATTCATGCAACAGTGTTATGACATTACACTTCTGTAATATCTGGGGTAGTGGAGACATGTACTGTGATTCGTTTACTATACACTGTAGGCAAATTGATCACAATGTGTGTTGATCTAGTCACAGCATGGTGAACTGATTACATTACATGAATTGTATGACCATATATGGTCATTGAATATGTTAGCAATTTATCTTGTTCAATGCCTTCAATATAGCATTGTCTCCATGTTTTTACTT